GTGAATTCTCAAGAGAGTGCAGAGAGGGGTAGGAGCATGGGCATGATTTGAGGAATGCCCACCTTTAAGGGGTGGGAGGAGGAAAAGGAACCAGTGCATAAATACTCAGAAAAGTAGGAAGAAAATGAATATAATGTAATATCAAGGGAGACAAGGGGAGAAGTTTAAAGAATGAGACAGTGGTCAGTGGTATGTTGCAGAGGGGAGAGGTCAAGGAGATTTTGGATGAAGAAGAGGCTATTTGAAAAGACAGTTAGGAAGTTAGTGATGGCCATGAAGGGAATTTATAGAACTTGCAAGAGGTGGGCATCTCTTTAAGGAAAAGAGTATGAAATGAGGAATTTAAGTCAGTGGTGGTGAAACTTGAGAAGTTAGCAAAAGAAAGGAGTTAGGATAGTAGCTCGAGGAGACAGAGGGAAAAGTGAAAGGTAAAAAGTAAAAAACATAAAAATATTTTAAGTAGTCACAATCTGGGTATTAGATGTTGGGTAATCCACTGTTATCCAACACTATACATATCTGGGACAGACAGTTGTAAATGGACGAGATGGACCCAGAATTAAACAGTAGGAAGAAATTGGACTGAATTGCCTTCAGAAAATTGTAAAACCCCTTTAATGACTCCCAGGTTTCTCCTAGAGAAACAAAGGCCTGTCTGTTAAATATCTTTATTTTACCAGTGTTTTTGTATGGCATAGGCCATGGAGTATGATTTCTTAAGAATTTAAAATGACTCTGACACAGAGGGCTTTGGAAAGGTGTGTGGTGAGTGTGAGCAGGCTGCAGGATATAAACAATGACGGGCTTTGAAGAACAGGAATAAAAAATGTCATTGAGGAAATACATAATTGGAAAAGAAGATGCATTGGACATGTGGCAGTGGTGAATCATGACAGGTGGACAGCTGCAGTGCTCTACTTAGATCCTTGCTATGTCAGGAGAAATTGAGGAAAGTTGGATTCTCCCATGGCAAATTTATAGGAAGTTATTGACAAGAATTGAGTAGGTTGGATTAATTGTAATCTGTAGCACTGAAATGAACTTAGTAAGATAGAGGATTTATAGGCAAAGGGGAAGGTGCTTGCTAATAATTGACATTTATAAAGTGAGTTATGGTTTGCAAAATGCTTTATAAACATCACATTTTATCCTCACAATATCCCTGAGAGAGGTAGGCTATTATTATTTTATTTTACAGATGAAATCGAAGCAGACAGAAGTTAATTAACTTGCCCAAGGTTACACCACTAGTAAGTGTCTGAGTCTGAGTTTGACCTCAGGTCTTCCTGACTCTACTGTACCACCTAGCTGCCAATAGAGAGGGAGGATTCTTCCATAATTCTTCCATAATTTCTAAAGTAATCATAGACAAAGTTAATATTAGCTTCTTTTCTTTCCTAAGGCAGTTCTTCTAAGCATAGAATGACAGATTTCATATTCTTGAATACCTTTGGTCTAGGCTAGCAGAGGCAGAGTAGGTCCCTTCTGTTTTTTTAATGTATCATACATTCTTTTCTGTTCCTTCTAAAGCACAGCTTATGTGCCACTTTGTATATTAGATCTTTTTTTGATCTCTCCATTAGAATGTAAACTCTTTGAGGGCAAGAACTGTTTCACTTTTTGTTTTTGTATCCTTAGTGCCTGACAGTGCTTTGCACACGATAGATGCTTATTAAATAATTGCTGAGTTGAGAATACATTTCTCTACATCTAGAATGGGTATAAGCTGGTATGTTTTTCTTATGTACATTCAGGTTTCTCTATTTTTGAAAAGAAAGCTTCAGCACCAGGACAGCACCATTTAGTGGGGCTAGAGAGAGGTGAGAACCAGGATGGGGTTTTCTTATTAAAAAGCCTTTCATAAATGAAAGGGAGTTGCCCACTGGCTCAGAAAACACAATGGACATTTTGCTTAAGTTCTGCTTTTGAGTCTTTTCAGAGGATCCTTAAGACTTTTTGGTAGAGCTTCAGTAGCCCTAGTTTGGGTCTTTAAATCAGCATGCATTTATTTATTGCCTCTATCCTAGGCAAGATGAATACAAGATAATGAGTATTCAAACACTGCTCTCGAGGAGTTTATAACCTAATGATTCTAATACAATCCAATTCACCAAACATTTATTAAGTACTCGATATTTTTTTTCCTAGGTACTGGAAATCAGAGGTAAAATAAAAATGAAATTAACTGCATTCATGGAGCTTACATTCAGATGAATTCTGACCTAAGTTTGGAAACCAATTCTATGTGAGAATTGAAAAATGTAACTCCTTAGCTTTTTAGCTGTCTTATAAACCCAAAGCAGATGGGTTAAACCCTCATTCACATTTTTGTGCTCATTATCCTTTTTGTTTTAATTTATCCAACATTGTATACGTTGTGAAAAAGAACCCACTAACCTTTCCCACTTTTTCCCAAACTCTCCTCAGCATCTCATTGAGCCATTCTTTCACCATTCAAATGCTCTTACTATTACTTTATCCTTAAAAGCTTTGTCAAAGTCTGTCTTTTTGTATCCCCACTTGTCAAAAAATGTTTTTAAGTACCTGCTATTTTAAAGACACTCTGCCAGGTATTTGGGGGAAATAAAGACAAAAATGAAATAGTCCCTTGCTTTCAAGGGACTTTGTTTTAATAGGGAGACGCAGCAAGTAGCAGTGCAAGGTAATTTTAGGAGAAAGAGAACATTTACAGCTGGGAGGGGGATGGGGGATCAGAAATGAACAGGTTTCCCTCAGTAAGTAGTGTACGAGCCCAGCGTGGAAAGAAGCCAGAGATTCTAAGAGGTAAAGGTGAGGAGGGAGTACATTTCAGTCTTGGCTGGGGGTGGGGGCAGGCAGGGTTGGGGAGGAGAAGTGCTATGTATGCAAAAACATAAAGACAGGAAAGAGAATGTGAAATTTGAGAAACAAGTGGTAGGTCACTTTGGCTAGGTTATTTGAAGGGAAAGAATATAAAATAAATCTAGAAAGGTAGAAAGGAACTGGTAAAGGTGGGGGTTAAATTCCAGGCTCTGGAGTTTATCCTAGAGGCAAAGGGAACCATTGTGCACACTCACCACACACCTTTCCAAAGCCCTCTGTGTCAGAGTCATTTTAAATTCTTAAGAAATCATGCTCCATGGCCTATGCCATACAAAAGTTGAGTGTCATGTTTAGTTCTGTTCTTTTGAATATGAATTTGGCAGTTGTAGGGAGGATTGATTGAAGAGGAGAGAGTTTGGAAGTAGGGAGACTAATTAGATGGCTGTTGTAATAATCTTGATGGATGTGAGAGATGTTGTATAGGTAGATTCAATATGGCTTGACAATTGATTTGGATATGAGAGATGAGAAAAGGGGAAGAGTCTAGGGGGAGACCAAAGTTGTGAACCCAGTTGGATTGTTAGAAGAATGATAATGTTCTCAGTAGAAAGAGGTGAGTTTGAAAAGGGATACATTTTGGGGAAAAGATGATAAAAGCTGTCTTGCATTTGTTGAGTTTGAGATACTAATGGGACATCTAGGTGGAAATGTCTAGCAGGCAGTTGGTAAGGTGGAACTGTAGTTCAGGGGAGAAATTAGGGCCTGCTGTATAATTATGGGAGTCATCTGTATAGAAATAATTGAATTCATGAAACTGCCAAAATCACTGAGAGAAAAGGGCCTATAAAAGAGCCGTGGAAGATACCCACATTTAACTACTAGGAGATGGATGATAGGTAGATAATTTGTATTAAATGTTTAATATATGCACAAGGAATAGTGATTCCAGCCAGCAACTCTTTAATCAGGAGAGCAGGCCCCAGGGCTGAGTCCTCTTGAGGTGGGCAGTGCAGCTGTGGAGATGATGATCATGGGATTTAAAATTTTTCTTTAAACATTTTTTCAATTAAAAATCTTATTTTCTGTTTCACCCCTTCACCTCTCCCTTTAGAAAAAGAAAAACAAAGCTTTTGTAACAAATATTCATAGTCAAGCAAAATAAATTTCCTATATTGGCCATGTCCAAAATAAAATATGTCTCAGTCTACATCCTGAGTTCATCACCTGTCTGTCAGGTAAGCAGTAGAATGCTTCATCATGTTCTCTAGAATCATGGTTGGTCATTGAGTTGATGATCATAGTATTTAGAGCTCAGAGAGACCTTAGAAATTAACTAGTTCAACTTCTTTATTTTATAAATGAGGAAACTAAAGCCCAAAGAGGTTCGTTAAATGTTTTGCCCAAAGCTATACGAGTGGTAAGTAGCAGAGTTGGAATTTGAAACCAGGCCCTCTGACCCCAGATCTAGCATTTTTTCCCCCTACTGTACCACTGTACCTTGTTTGAGTTAACAAAGGGGGCTAAGAAGGAGCTGTCGTGCAGGTAGAGGAGAACCAAGAGAGACCAGTGTTATGAAAGCCAAGGGAGGAACCGAGTATCCAGGAGGGGAGGAGATGGTCAGAAGTGTCAAAAACCATAGAGAGGTTTGGTAAAATGGGAACTGAGTAAGACCATTGGATTTAGCATTGAAGAGATCACTGTGAATCTTTGAGAAAGTAGTTTCAGCCAGATTACTAGGGGACTGAAAAATGAGCTGGGAGGTAAGGAAATGGAGGAGCTGATTTCCTAAGAGTTTGACAGCGGTTGGGAGGAGAGGTATAGGATGATAGCTTGAGAGCATGGCAAAGACAGTTGAAGGTTCATTAAGGTTAGGGAGCCTTAGGGTTGTTTGTAGGAAACTAGGAAGAGCCAGTGGCAGGTAGAGAGTGCAGTGTGAATTGAATGCTCAACCTGGAGTCTGGAAGACCTGAGTTCAAATGTGACCTCACACTAACTGTGGGACCTTGGGCAAATCATTTAACCTCTAACTCACTTTCTTCAATTGTTAGATGGGGATAATAATAGCACCTACCTCTCAGGGTTGTTATGAGGATCAAATGAATTATTTGTATAACACTTAGCACAGTGCCTGGCATGTAGTCGGTGCTTAATAAATGCTTGTTCCCTTTCCCTTTTACCCCCCCCATCAATGGATAAAGAGATTGAAGATGAAAGACAATGAAGGCATAATTGAGAGAACAAGATCGAAGAAGAAAAAGGGGATGGGATCAAGGGCACAAGTAGAGAGGTTGATCTTGACAGGAAGGACCACCTCTTCCCCAGAGTTTGAAGCAAAGCAGGTGAGAATGGGGGATGGTATAGAGGGATTTCAAGGTGTGGAAAAGGGGAGACAGCTCACAATGGCTGGCTTTTTGTTTCCTCTGTGAAGTAATAATAGCTAGCATTTGTATAGTGCTTTATGGTTTACAAAGTGCTTCACAAATATTATCTCGTTTTATCCTCAAAAAACCTGCCTGGGAGATAGATGCTATTATTATCCCCATTTTACAGATGAGGAGAGTCAGACAGAGGCTAAGTGATTTGCCCAGGGTCACATAGCTAGTAAGTGTATGAGGCCAGATTTGAACACAGGTCTTCCTGACTCTGGGTCCAGTGTTCTATCCACAGTATCACCTATCTGCTTAGTAGGAGTAAAGTAGGAGATGAGGTCATAGTATCATAGATCCTCTGCTGAGAGTGAAAGGATAGGGAATACTGTATAGGAAAGAAGAGTTTAGAATAGCTATTGTGGGGAATGGAGTCAATAAGGGAAGAAGAAAAGGATTGCCATGTAGCAGTGAGAACCCATTTAAGATGAAATCCCATCGATTTGCAGTGAACCTAGTCTGGATGATTGTGTGACTTTGTCTAGCAGATTTCAGCAGCACTGGAATGTCGTAGTAGAGAAGCTAGATGGTGGGGGTAGTTTACTTTTAGGGTTTGGTTTCCTTATCTTTATTTCTCTAGTTGATCCAGGTCTATGACTATGCCACTTTGACTGAAACACTTTCCCAGATCTTCGTGTTTCCCTAATTGTGCTTATATACTTACTCTAACTCCTATTGCATAACTTTCTCTCCATTCAGTTAACACTTTACTAACATAAGTTAACACTTAGGTGTTCAGTGTGTGCAGTGTACTGTGTTTAGCACTGGGGAAGATAGTGTCTGGATGATACATGGTCCTTATCCTTATGGTGCTCCTAATCTAGTCAGGAGATAAAATGCAAAAACAGATAGCCATAATGGATATTACATGATAAGTACATTGAAAAACAAAGTGCTGTGTGAGGTCTAATAGTGAGTCCGATAGTGAATATAGTAACTAACTAAGGGGATCAGGAAAGGCTTCATGGAAGGGGTAGCATTTCAATTAGTTTTTAAGTTTGGGTAGGAATTTAATATTCAAAAGGCAGTAGAGAAGATATTCCAGGCATGAGAAATAACATTGAATAAAGGCTTGGAGGTTGGAGAGCTGTACAAGACATACATATCTGGGGGGTCAGAGAATAGTTAGAACAGAGATTCTTAATCTTTTGATGTATATCATTGGATTTCTTTGGCAGTCTCGTGAAGCCTATGGACCCTAAGAATAATATTTTTAAATGCATAAAATAAAATACACAGGATTACAATGGAACCAATTATTAAAATGTTATTAAAATATTAAACATATTTGTAGTTTAGGAGTATGTGTCTTATTAATATGTTAAAATAAGACAATACATTTAAAATATAGGCAATTTAAAGCTAAATTTTATTTTCTAAAGACATATCAGTCTGTGGAGGCTGTTGTTTAGGTTAAATAAGAACAATAAACTGGAGTGGTCTTTGACAGGGTTACATTTTCAGTTGTGATGCGATATCATATGAAAGTAGCTATGATTCCTATTGAAGACAAAGTCACAAGTACAGCTAATATTGTTATGGTTTATTACCCACTTTTATAATGGAAGGAAATGCTAAATTTTAATTAGAATTTAGTGAAAATGAAGATGTAAATTTTTTTTCCCATCCAAGTTCATGGACTCCCTAAAATCTGACCATGATTTTCCTGGGAGGTCTGTGGGTACCAAGTTAAGAACACCTGAGCTAGTAAGCATTAGTAGAGTGCCTCAGGAAAGAGAGATGAGGCTGAAAAAGCTGCCAAGCTGTAGAGGGTATTGAATGCTCTTAGTAACCTTTTTTTTTCTTCTTTTCTTTTCCTTCTTTTACAGTTTCTACATTCTAGATCAACCAATTAGTAAGCATTTATTAAATACTTATTGTATGCCAGGACTGCTAGGTGTTGGGGATACAAAGGCAAAAGTGAGAGTCCCTGTCCAATTACATTTATATTTCAATATAATTGGTTTCTTCCTTTGCAATCCTGTGTACTTTATTTTATGCATTTGAAAATATTCTTTTGAGAAGGAGCAGTAGGCTTCATCAGACTGACTGCCAAAGGAGTCCAGGACATAAAAAAGAAAAGAACTCCTGGTTTAGAAGGAGTAACGAAGGCATAGGAAAGGATTACAGCGAAACTGTCCATTATCTGTGTTGTTAAGAGAGCTATTATGGTGGCAAGGAAGCTCAAGATTCAAATCCAGAAGAAGAGAATGATTCCATCACAGATACGAACAAAGCCTCAGTGGAAAACACAGTTTAGACACAAACTCAACTAGAATGCCTGAAAGAGACAAAGCAGGATTTTTTTTTGAAAGAGTTAAAGTGTTCTTATAAGTAGAATTAGAGCACTTGAAGAAAAAATTGGAACAGAAATGACAGGTGTGGAAGAAAGACCTGCAAAGGAAATTAACAGCTTAGAACAAGGGGTACAAAACTTTGCCCAAGCAGTAAACTCCCTGAAAATTAGATGAATCAAATAGAAGCCAGTGAATCAGTGAGCCAACAAGAAATATTAAAACAAAGTCAAAAGCCAAAAAAAAAAAAATTAAATCTAAGTTATCTCATAGCGAAAACAACTGACCTGGAAAACAGATTGAGAAGAAAAAATTTAAGAATCAGTGGACCACATGATTTCCATGGCCAAAAAAAGACCTCATATTTCAAGAAGTCTTAAAAGAAAACTGCATGGATCTTTTAGAACCAGGGGTCAGAGTAGGAATAAAATCTAACTCTTGAAAAAAACTCTAAAGTGAAAATTCCCAGGGAGATCATCACCAAAATTCAGTGTTTCCAGGTAAAAGAAAAAATACTGTAAGCAGCCAGAAAGAAAGAATTCAGTCACTAAGGCATCAGATCGAGGATTATGCATGATTTAGCTGTATAAAGGAGCAGAGAGATTGAAATTTCCTATCCCAGAAGGCAAAGGATATGTATGGGCTTACAGCTAAGAATAACTTACCCAGCAAAACTGAGGAAGGGGGAAGAAATGGACTTGTAATGAAATAGAGGATTTTCAAGCATTCTTCAAAGACCAGAGCTATGCAGAAACTATGAAGTTCGATCACAGCAGGGAAGAGAAACATTAAAAGTTAAACATGAATAAACTAAACAAAGATAAACTGCTTATGTTTAAATATGATGAAATGTGTTTCTTCTGAACCCTAACATCAGAGGTCATAGAGGAAGTCCAATTGGACAAGACCTGGTGGTGGTTCTGTTATGTCTTGATGAACTTAAGAGAATAATGGAAAAAGGGGAACCAAATACATGATGATGGGGGAGGGGAGGGAGGAAGCAAAGACATCATCAGGGTGTACATGTAGACATCTATACAAATTATGAGGAGTGGTTGGGGTTGGTGCTGACACTTGAATGTCACTCTGATCTGAACTGGTCAGAAGAAGGAAGAATACACACACACACACACACACACACACACACACGAGTACAGAAATATATTTCACTTAGCAGAGAAATAGGGAAAAGGAAGAAGGGGGAGAAGGAGTTTAGAGAGAGGGTAAGTTAAGGATTAGTCTTACGGAAAATAAACTAAGGATATGCAAAAAAAATTTTAGCTCTTTTTGAAGTGGCAAAGAATGGGTATATGAGGGGATGCTCACATATTGGGGAATAGGGAATATGTTATGGCATATAAATGTGATTGAGTATTATTGTGCTGAACTCTTTATCAGCGTAATGATCAACCAGGATTCCAGAGGATTGTTGAGGAAACATGCTACCCGCCTTCTGATAAGAAAGGTGAAGGACTTAGTGCAGAAGGAGAAATTCTTTTTGGACATAGCCAATGTAGAAATTTGTTCTGATTGGCTATACATGTTTATGATGGGTTTTGTTTTCCCTGTGTTTTCAGTGGGGATGGGAGAGTGAGCAGGTAGATTTTGGTTAATTAAAACAAATAAAATGTTTTTTGAAAAGAGATAATTGGTAACTTTGGAGAGATCATTTTCATTTGAATACTGATGTTAGAAACCATATTGAAAAGAGCTAAGAAGAGAATGAGAGGAAGAACACGGAGGCACCAATTGTAGACAACTTTCTTCAGGAATTTAGCTACAAAAAGGAGGAGGCAGCTGATGATTCCTCCCTTTACTTAGGGCTCACCATATTAATGTTGAACTTGACCCTGCATTCTTGAAGAAGGCTTTGCTATTGCAAAAAGAGCTCTGATTGGTGCTACCAAGCCAGAAGGGCTTTGAATATGGAGTGGTGTCTGCTCTTGTGCCTACTAAGTGTGAAGGGGCTCATCACTAGAGGATTGGCTACAGGGTGATAAATTTTTTGACCATAGCAATTCATAAAACTGTCTACCAAGCTTGAGGGGTCAAGGTAGGGGGTGGGGGTGTAACAGGGAAGGGGATCGTGATCTATATCAGTTGGGAGAGTACTTACTGAAATCATTTCTGCTTTAAGTAAGTACACATGACCATGTCAGGTTGTTCATGTCTTAAGGCTATTAATGAAGAATAGGTTGAATTAAAAATGTTTCCTTATACTTATATACGGCTCTTAAAAGTTCAGCTAGTCTAGGAATTTAGTCAGTTAGTCAACAAACATTTATTAAGCTGTTTCTATGGATAAGGTACTGTGCCTTACATACAGGCAAAAATGTGGTCCTTACCCCGAAGGAATTCATATTCTAATGAGGGAGACAACATGCAAGCAACTATGTACATACAAACTGTATACAGTGTAAATAAGAGGTGATCTCAGAGAGAAGGCACTTAGTAACAGCTGAGAGGACTAGGAAAGGCCAGTTGCAGAAGGTGGGATTTGAGCTGAGTCTTGAAGGAAGCCAGAGAAGCAAGGAGGCAGAGGTGAGGAGTGAGTGCATTCTAGGCTTGAAGGATGTCTATTAAAAGGCATAGAGTCAGGAAATGGAGTGTTGTATCTAA